CACCCTTATGTCCCGGAAATTCGCCTGAAATGTGACAGTGAGGATTCTCTTCACAGCGCACCGAAGCTGTAGAACGGAGCCAGCAGTTCCACCACTCGGCCATGCGCAGCTTCTTCAGACACTTCTAAGTGTCACGAGCCAATTTGATAGATGTTTGTTTAAAAATAAATAAACACACACAACACTTGAGTTTTCCTAAGTTCACAGAACGAAGGGAAAAAACAGCCATCATCCAGCATTATTAAAACTAACATACTCTTACTGAATCTCCACCAAGCCCCGTGGTTTTGTGATATGCTTTCTGCCAAGCCCACCGAGTATTTCCTTTTCCTTTACAGCTGAAGGTTCCATAGTACTAAGGAAATAAAGCAATAAGGAAAGCCTGATGGGGTGATGGTAGTTTCTCCCAGACGAGAGGCTCTTCAGCCTCCATTCGTGGTGCACTTTATTTATGGTACTAGGATACAGACCGCCCATTGCCGTGTATCCTCCGCCATCTGAAATACTCATGCTGCTTTTTGGAGTGCTGATGGGGGGCACCAGCTTGATCCATTGTTGCTCTTCAAAGGCCCCAAAGCCATTGGGCATTGCCAGAGTCCGGATCACGTGGGAGACCTCATTTCTCTTCTCGGCTAGCTCACAACATCCCTGAGTCGGATGTGGCTGTGGACCAGCAATTCCCACAAGTGCTGCCAACAGGAACTTGGCTTATTCCTGGGAACACAGCAAGGAGAGCCAGGCACAGGCAGGAGCCTGGGACCCCCTTGGCTGAGGTGCTGCTCCCACGGGTCTCCAGAACCTGCTTGGAAGTGGGCAGGAGCCGGCCCAGTGGGAAGCGCAGAGCCAGCCTCAGCGCTTTGTCACGTCCACTCCTCAGTCCTTGGTGCAACTCAACTGTGTTTTGTCTTCTCTCTCTGTATTTCTTCTCTCCCATCTTTCAGTACCATTTTGCCTTGGAATCATGATTACAGATATTTCCTTTGCAGATGCCTTCCTGGGGGATGTTCCTCTCCACCCTGCAGGGTGGCCTGCAGCTGGGGCTGAGGCTCCTGCTGAGGATTCTCTCATGAGACACCCTCGGAACTTTAGCACAAAGTGCCTTCTCTTTTACAGCTGCCACCACCTTTATAGGAAGTTTGCTGTGTCAGAAAATTGTGGAGGCTCCATAGTAATGCATTATTTTAAATTGTAATAACTCTGAACGCATCATTTGCACCTGGGTGGTAACTTACCTGTGCAGAGCATCCTGGCCCAGCTGCAGCGGGACCGCTCCTGCCAGTCTTGATGTTATTAAGATCAGCTTTGAGAGGAAAGTCTGTCCTGGCTTAGCCATTCGGAAAAGAAGAATGGAATTCAGTTACAGTAGTAAATGAAATTGCTTTGGGTTTCCATGTTTAGAGAAAGATAAAAGATTTTTAAGGAAGTATTAACTGGATGAAGGTAATGTGTCTGCCCCTAATCTTTCATTCATGGTCTGTTAGTGAAAAGGAAGTAAATGAGATTCTTTTGTGTAACTTTGTAGTTTCTTTGTATTACCAAATAGTTGGGGTGTTGACCCCCATGTGTTTTGCAAGAGTATGTGGTAAGCATGGGTAAGGAGTGGTGATTGTGTGTTGGGGAGTGGCGGGGGATAATTTGTTTTTGGGGTAAATGTCCACTTTTTACACTTTTGAATAAACTGTGTGGAAAAAGCAGTGTACTGTGTTCTAATTCAGTATGGCTTCCAATTCAAAGAGGCAGAATGCTAACTGCATCGTCGTCTGCAGACCGGGTGCTTTTCTGTCTCGGGGAAGCTGCAGCTGTGTCTTCTGATTTGCTGTCCATACAAAGAGACTGTCTTCTCTCGGCCCCACGCATGTTCTTCCTACCTGATTCCTACCTGTGTCACAGAATTAAGGCCACGGGGAGACCTTTCTGACAGAGAGAAGCCTTTGTACGACTGTTTACAGCTCAGTCCATTAATTTCCCCAGCCTGGCGCTGCCAGGAATCTCAAAAGCTCTCAGGGCAGGACTTCTCAGCCCCCATGTTCCCCAGAGCAGGGTTCTGTTTCCAGATCGTGTGTATTTGGGTCCTGTTGGGTCCCACTTACCCCTTCTCTAGGTTAGAGAAGGAAGCCTGAGAAAGTGGCAGGAAGGAAGGGATCAAAATCGGGGTCAGACCCGCAGCGAGGGAAGCTAAATCGTTAGAATGTGGACTGTCCTTCCAAGGCTGGTCGCAGACATGTGGGAATTGGCTCAATATTGGTTCTGGTCACAGATTATTCTGTTTCCTACTTTATTTTTAAAAATATTTTTATTGATTTCAGAGAGGAAGAGCGATGGAGAGGAAGATACATCGATGAGAGTCATTGATCAGTTGTGTTTTGCCCCAAAACTGGAGATTGGGCCTCAGGCTGGGCATGTGCCCCCAGGAATCAGCCGTGACCTCCTGGTTCCTAGGTCGACACTCAAGCCAGGCACCCACTGCTTTGTAGAATTACTTTAGAAAGTAACATACAGGCAAATTCCTTTGGGATTAATATTCAAGGTTTAAATAGTAGGTTGCTAATTTTAAAACATTTATATGGCATAATAGGACTCCTCTTCTACTTATTACTAATACTTTTTCTCTGAATTGTTTCCTTGAAAAGTATATTTCCTGGATCATCTTTTCCTGTCTCCTGAGCCTTTGTATATAACCTAATGGTGTTATCAGAACTCAGAAGGACTCAGTGAATGCTCTTTTCCTTTGCTAGGTAGTATACATTTTCCCGGAATTATCTATCAAAGCCAATACTGACTTAAAACTAACCTTCACATGCTTGTTTGGGCATATTTTCAGAGAAAAACATTTTGCCCAAATAACATTTAAGCACCATAATATATGGAATTCAATACCAGGCGCTTGGACAAGGAAGTGAGGGCTGAGTGGTTCTGAACTGCACAGCAGTGTGGGGAGAATTCCCACCAAGGGGCTAACAACGCAGCATCGGCTGAAAAGTTAGTATTTTAGTGGCGATGTAACAGTACTCTTAAACCAACCCGAAGTTGCTGGGAAGCTTAGGGAAGCCCCCGGAGATGTTTGCAAACAGCAGTGATTGGGCAGGGAGGAGTGAGCCACAGGATGTTGGCGGCAGGAAGGTATGGTCTTGTGCTGTGGTAGAGGCACGGAGTTGAGTAATAACTGCTTTATGAAGAACACTGCACTCACTTTGTCATTTCCTTCTCCCACTTCCACCCACTCCAGTCTGGTGCCTCTTCCTTGTGTGAAATGTTAGTATTATTCCATGTATAAAGCATGCTAGTATTTTTATTATTCCTGTGGTCACTGGGTCCTGCCATACCCACTGGCTTCTTGACTCCTTAATCTTTTTTTTTTTTTTTTTTTTTTAAGTTGATTTTAGAGAAGGAAGAGGGAGAGTTGAAAACATCAGTGATGAGAGGGAATCATTGATCAGCTGCCTCCTGCATGCCCCCCACTGGGGACAGCCCACAACTGAGACGTGCCCCTGGCTGAAATTGACGCTCTATCCACTGAGTCACAGCAGCAGGGCTTGACTCCTTAATCTTAATCAGCCTCCTGTACTACACCGTTGACTTCAAAAACAGCTCCCACCTCTCCGACTTCTGTCTTGCAGTTACTCTGCCACCACTTAAATGCTGGTGCTTTTTAGAGCAATCACTTTTGCACTCTTTTCACTCGTGATCTTCAGGCCACCCGCCCCATACTGCGGCTTCAACTGCCATGCTCTGGTGGTGAGGTCTTCGAAGTGACCAGCCTACCTCGACCACTCCCCGGATCGCCTGGTCTCATGGAGCCAAGTGCCTACTAGAAGTGCCATTGGATGGCCTTCACCAGGCTCAGGCCAAGGCTGTCCAAGACTCCTTGCCTCCATAGCCTTTTTTCTAGCTCAGTCTACTCAGCTATCCAAACCACAAACTTCTTCCATGCCTCCCAAGTAAGCATGCCCAGGTCCGGAGCTTGGCCACTATCCTACCAGTGCCTTCCCCACTCGGTGCTGAACACATTGCAGTGATCTCAAAGTGACCTTTTCCGGTCCTTTGAAGCCTGTCATTCCCCCCTGCTGTCAAAAGAAATTCTCTGAAATTTTAAGTCTGACCGTGTCTTTCTGCATAAAACCTTGAGGGCTCCCATCCCAGTACACCGTTGTCTGAGGCCTTTCTTTACTCTGGCCTCTTCTCTGCATCACCACGCCCACTTCCCTGATGACAGTAAGCCATTATGCCATCTTTGCTTACAGTTGAGTTGGCCTAGGATACCTCCTCCCCTCATACTCATGGATCCAAAACTTGTATTCATCCTTCACAATTTGGTTCATGGTCACCTGTAGAATTGTCTTGTAACCTCTTCCCTCACAGTAAAAACTGGCTACTCTATCTTTATGGGACTTCTGAGTGACCTGGACTGTCTACTGAAGTCTTCTCTGTGTGATCCCAACAGCTCCTTGGTGGGAGGAACTGTGTCCTAGTCAGGGTGTCCCCATGGCCCAGCAGTGCTTGGCACAGAACATACTCTGCAGGCCATGCTTCTAGAGCATGTTCTTAACCTCAGGCCTGCTAGGAAGGCACAGGCTTGCTCTGCACCCCTGAAATTCAGTGTCACCAGCAGTAGGCTCCCAGGTTGAGCGAGGGGCCTCAGTAGACACCAGCCCCGAGTACGGCTAAGGATGAGAAAGAGGCTCTACTATGATGTCTCCAAGGGACCTTTCACTGATGCCGTGGTTCCTCACTGGCTTAAACCTAAACTGGGACATCAAAGTTTGCGTCCTCTTTCAAACTTACATCTGACTTTGCGAGGTCCTACTTAGTTGTACTTGAGGGTTTGAGGGGTCTCGAATGCAAGTTAACCAGGAACTAGAGAAGGGAGACCATTAGGGCTCTGGAACCTAGACGTACGAACAGCAGGGCGGGAAACACACAGGCCTGAGGCAAGCCCACAGCTGCTCCTTCCAGTCCCTTTTTAAACCTAGTTTTATTTTCTGCCAAAAGAACAACATGGACACGAATTATAATATTTTATTTAAAAAAAAAAGCATCCCAAATATAGGGTTTCGTAAACACTGGTAGGTAAACATGTGCAACTTTAAATACAAAGTAAAGAGGCAAAACAAAGCATTTTGCCTTTAAGAGAAAATGTCCTGCAGTGGTGGTCCCACCCAGAGCATGACTTGGCTCCATCTCCCACGAAGGCATCAGGTTTGCTTTCTGAACTCACTATGCCCGTTTAACAATTTCAAGATGACATTAGATTCACCAGAGAAAGAAGGCTCCATGTCACACTTTGACTGTGAATGAAGGCCCGTGTTCTGGTTGGTTTTACTTACACAAGGATCTGCTGGAACACTATGCAAATACAGTTGTCCTTCCTGGGCTTATTCCACAGCATTTCCTTAGACTGTGTACATTACATTATCACGTTCTCTTGGGATTTAGTTGAAAATATTGGCTATTGTGTGCAGTAAACCCAGCTACTTTCCAGCTTTACCTTTTGTTGTCATTCTTTCAGCCTGATAAATCGCTAATATCACCACATTTTAACACTGTTCCTTGCCCAGTACTCTCCAAGTCTCTATGGCAAATGTTTCCTACTCAACCATACGTGATAGGATGCAGGCAGGAACTGATTCTAAACTTCAAATTCAGGTTCATCTTGGCTTGCTGAGATAACTCGGAGTAAGACAGTCTGGCTAAAACTACAATACCTCCTTATGAAAATGTTTCTGTATAAATCACCTGGCTTACTTATTTAGGCACTTAGAAGAAAATACCAAACCTGAGTCCTACCTTTAGTATTAGAAACACCTCTTGCCCAGGTGGCCAGTAACTGATTCTTAAGGGAAAGACTACAACCCAGCGTGTGTTGGCTGAGGTCCTGCCACAGCAGAATGTCCTGGCCCTGGAAACAGCAGCTCTGACTGAGGGGAACCACCAAATTACAATGATGCCGAGCTCTGGGCTGGGAGGGCACGGAGTGCAGAAGCCTCCCGCTCAGCTTCCTCCTCAGTCATCACCACCTGGTGACACTGGCAGATTTACCTCCCCAGATTTCCCATGGGGTTGGGGCCAAAAGCACATTAACCCAATTTGGGGAAAGAAGATATAGTTCTTACAAGTCAGAATTAATCATTTATACAGAAGTGTTCACTACATGCCATACTTTCACACCTGGCTTTCCAACTAAGCAAGGACTAGAGAATCAGCGTGTTGACACTTACTAACATAACCAATACATTAGCTGTGTAACGAAGTTATACATATACCAGACTGCACAGTCAATGTGATGACATGGAAGTCAACTGACAAGTAAAGGAAGCACCATTAAACAATACTGGGCTGGTCGACTAATGGGCACAATTGTATACTGGTGAGGTCATAGCCAAACCTGACCTCAAATATGAGCCAACAGTTTCACAGAAATAAAGCCACCCACTGGCCATAAGCCTTACAAATGGGTGCCAATGGTAATCAGAACTCTGCAGGTGGGGGTGGTTCAGTTTAACCCCAATTACCTTTCAGAGGAAGAGCACTCATTTCCACTGTGATGCTGACCACATGCAGAGAATATACTTACTAGAAGATACTTGCTCTTCCAGCCTGGAGAGCAGCTTTCAACGCCATCCGACTTCACCCTCGGAGGACTTGGGATTAGCATGGTCAAACTGAATCAAGCAGCTAGCCCTAGAGCATCTATGGGAACGGGTTTAAGAAAGCCAGTCATGCTCTTAAAGAAAACTATGTGCCTCTTTGTAAGTTGTGATGATAAATACCCCGAGCAGGTGACTGGGAGGCCAGCCTGAAGCACAAAAGGGGAGATGATCCCATGACACATCCGGCTGTAGCCATAGGGACACAGGGGAAGGCGGTTCAGTGCTGGGAGGGTGAGCTGGGTGTCACACACTGTGCATTAACACACAGTGACAGAGCAAGCAATTACTAGTCTCATTTCCCTTCAACTCATCCTTCCTTTGGGGATGATATTAATGTGGTTTCTTATTCAGTGTGAGCAGCTGGTAGGCTATTTCAAAATGAAAATATCCTGGTATAAAAAAAAAATAAAAATCCCTAAACATGAAAAGAATCCTGAACTGGGACAAAGCCTGAGCAGGTGAAGCTTCCCCATCCAGCTTTCCCCTCACGGAGCTCTTCAAGGCTTCCTGCTGAGAAACGGCCCTTGTGAGAAATGTCTGCTCACGTCTAGAGCCTTTAAGTCGTATCTCAGGTCGCCCACCCACACCCACAGCAACAGCTGCTCCTGGCGAAGACCTGTGGCTTCTCACCAATTCCAAGCCAGGACAATGCAAGTGGCCCCGTCGGGAGAGGTTCTTCTGGAGTTTGCTCCTAACGAATAAACACCATGACGCTAGGGTTCCATAAACACTGTTATGCCACTTTCCTTCCTGTCACAGGATCCATATGGTTTTGGATTGTTCTTGCATTAATGAAAAAAAACACACAAACTGAATTTTAGCGCCTAAGAATTTCCTTCTAAACATTTTGAATATGAGCCTACTTCTACCCTGCTGCAATCTGGGCACAGATGCTACTAGGAATGGCATCTTCATCACCCTCTGAGTATGCCATTAGTGCTATTGGAGGAGATAGGAATTGTCTCCACTAGGTTTGGTCCCTTTGCTGCTAAGTGAGTGCTTGGTGTAAAACAAAACACACAAAGCAAGACACAGCACGAAGAATCAGAACAGCTTTGCCAAATGAGGCAACAGGAGTCTTGACTTCCTTTTCTGCTCTGCAGTTATGCAAAGGCTCAGTGAACAGCACCAGACCTAAAATTTCAAGTTACCAAGGCTGCTGCAAAGCTGGGAGCCATTACCAGTGAGGCTTTCTCATCCCCTGCGGAGGTGCAGATATACCGAAAAGGATGCAGGTGAATTATGGGAGAACGGAAAAGGATGGGAGAGCCGGCTTTCGGCAGCTCGGTCAGACAAACGCTTCGCAGAGAGGTGGACCCCCAGCTGGCCCTAATCCTGAAAGTCGTTAGAAGCCATCTGAGAAAGTGGGGCATTTAGCCGGTCAAGTTCATCCACTTGGGGTGGGTGATGCATCAGTATCTCCTGGTCCTCCAAGACATCTTCTCCAGCGGCTACCAGATTAGTGAGGGACTTGCTCCGAACACACTGGAAGTCCACATGGCGACTCTTTCCTTCTTCCTTTTCCCATGACATCTGGATAAAAGGGCGCTGCACATAATTATAGATGACTTCAGATCGGCCACCAGGTCTTCTCTTAATCTTTTCTTTACAGGTAGGGTAACCTGAAACAGAAAAAGACCGTTCTCATGACTTCAGCTTCCATACTTCTCACCACATCACTTTCCTCCCAAATGCAAAGATTATGCATGAAAATTACAGGGGAATCGACCAGCCTCTGACCATGTCCTCCCAGCCCCAATCACTCACACACTATTCCCTCCTGCTCAGTTAGTCCGTCTTATCCCTAGAAGGGAAGTAACAAAAATTCTATCCCTTCTAATGGAAGGGGGAGAGAAACTTATTAATTTCAGATGCCTTTAGTTCAGGGGTGCGGAACGTCCTGCAAAATCATTTGGTTTGGTCCTGCCAAGGCAACCGCAGGCAGGAAGTGAAACTCAGTAAATCTAGGAGTTTTTTCATAGCAACATATATTTATATTAAGTGAATTATATTAAGTGAGTGATGTTACAAATACCCAAACGGCCTTTGGCAGAAAAAAGGTTCGCCACCCGGCTTTAGTTACTGGCAACAACACTACAGAATGAAACGCCTGCTAGGGCATGGCTACTCCGCCCTCTTAATTCTGTTGCTCAGAGGGCACTAGTTAAGGGAATGTGGAATGTTCAGCCTAAAGAAAGAACAGGTGCTGCCGAAGGTATCTGAAAGGCTGTCCCACGGAAGTGGAGAAATCGTACTCTGCGGAAGGATGTCCTGGTGGTAGAGCACCCTGGGGCTGGTGTGGGAAATGGAGTGACCCCTGTCACCCTGTCCCCGAGGTTTCCAAAGAGACAAAGGAAGTACAAGAGGTTTAACTGATGATCTCAAAAATGTCTCCCAACTTTAAATCCCCACCTAATTCAGACTCAATGAAGGCCTGATGGGTTCTGTGGGCAAGACTGAGTAAGAACAGCAAAACCTGAGTCCAAGTCCCGTGGAGGGAGACCAGGATGGCTTCAGCTAGAATCAGTCTGAGACCCTCCCACGGAGGCCACAGGTCGGGAGGCTGTCACTGCTCAAGATCATTTGAAGCAATTCTGTCAACGTCCAGGCATTTCTCAAAGGCATGTAATGGGACAAACTCAGAGCCTCCAAGAGTTTTCAGAAGGACCCTTCCAGACCCCAGAAAGGACCCTTCCAGTCCTCACCAAGACTGCTGACAGAACGCCTGTCCCCTTGGTGAGCCCCGAGACCTGCTCCAGTTACCCAGAGGCCTTTGCCCTCACTGCTCTCTGTATCCCAAGGCAGGAATTGGAACTTATTCCTGCAGCTGCTTTAAAGCATTTTCAACTGGAAACAAAGTGAAAAGGAAACATAAGGACAAAAGGAAAATGAAGATCCTTGAAACTTGGGTAGAAATGCAGTTTTCGTATGTCTACTGTCTAGGGGTGTCGAACTCAATCAGAGAAGGGGCCAAAATCTAAAATCCAGCCTAAATCGCGGGCCGAATGGTTTACTGAACAGTCATAAACTGTCATTGTGATGGAAACGCAGCGGAGTGCAGTGATGACAGCGCGGTGCGGGCCACATTGCAAGGCCTGGCGGGACGGATTTGGCCCGCGGGCCTTGTGTTTGACACATGTGGTCTAGGTCCTCTGGAAGTTTTAAGGACATAAGCTATGACCATAGTTGCAGGCTACCCCCGTAAGCTATGCAAGCTAATACTGATTGGAATGTTTTTACCTTCAATTCCAATGCGAATGTTTTTCAGGCCCCGTTCCTTTAATACTGTTTTAGCAACATCCCGATTCTCAATATACTTGAAGAATCTGTAGAGCTTGGAACTATAAAGAACTGTGGGAAAAATGAAAAACAAAAGATCTGGAGTTAGTTATGAAGCAGACTCCATAAGAGGAAGGAGATGAGCTAACAGAATCAGACTAATGAAAGTTATATTTCTTTTGGCCCTGATATTAAAAAAAATCCAGATGGGTCACAGATAAATAGGATATAGAAGGCCTTTCTGGGTAAAACATAAAACCTAGAAGCCATAAAAGAAAAGCTGATACATTCAACTACATAAAAATACATCTCTACTTAGTTAAAACCACTTATTAAAGCTAAAAAGACCATCAACTGAAATATTTGCAACTCATATTATTAGGTCTAGTAATAATGTCGTTTTCTAATACTTTTTAAAATCAAATTTATTTAAACAATACAACAAAATTTAATCAACAATATAGTTGCCGTTGTTTTCTACTACTTGTGCCCAACGCTCAGGAAGCATTTTAATCCCTCTGTTGTAAAATTCTTGTGATTTTGATGCAAAAAATTCGGTCAATGCATTTTTGAGGCATTCTTCATTATTAAATTTTTTTCCAAGAAGAAAGTTTTGCAAAGAACGAAACAAATGGTAATCGGAAGGGGCAATATCAGGAGAATATGCAGGTTGAGGGAGAACTTCCCATTCCAACTGGCGCAGTTTTTCAGCAGTGATTCTTGCAGTATGCGGCCGTGCGTTATCGTGGTGAAGAATTACGCCCTTCCGATTAATCAGCGCGGGTTCTTTTTCTCTTAAAGCTTGGGCTAACCTTTCCAATTGGGTACTATATACTGCACTTGTAATGGTTTGGTTAGATGGTAAAAGTTCATAATGAAGAATTCCTTTAAAATTCCACCAAACACACAACATCACTTTTTTCGCATGCAAGTCAGGTTTTGGCGTGGGCTGCGGAGCCTCATTTTTGTCCAACCATTGAGGCCGCCTTTTCAAATTAACATACAGCACCCATTCTTCATCTCCGGTAACAATTTGCTCTAAAAACGGCAAACGGTTTTGACGAGAGAGGAGCGAACTGCAAATTGTGACTCTTTGATTACGGTTGTTGTCGGTCAACTCATGAGGAACCCATTTTCCAAACTTTTGGACTTTGCCAAGTGCACGCAATTGATTGGAAATTGTTTTTTGTGAACAATTTAAAGTTGTCGCAAGCTCTTGTTGGGTAATTTGAGGATTTTGCACCAAAAGAGCTTGAAGAGCTTCTTGATCAAAATTGGACACATGGCCTCGACCACTCTTGTCATCTAACGAAAAATTTCCCTCGCGAAATTTCTCAAACCAACGCTGGCATTTTCTGGCGCTAACTGCATCTTGACCAAGAGCACTACAGATGTTTTTTGCAGCCTCACTTGCTTTTCTTCCTAATTGGAACTCGTAAAGCATGCAGTGCCGAATATGCTCTTCATCCGCCATCTTCTTAGCCCTAGTTTTGCAACAAAAACCAAACCAAACACAAACTTTTTCAAGCAAAACTTGTTAATTGCACTTCACACGTTCTGTAGATACCACGTGTTTGAAGGTTATGTCAATACAAGTCAACGCCAAGCAAGATTTTAAAGGAATGTTAAAAACGACATTAATTATTACTAGACCCGATACAAAGGGCTAACTTCCTTAATAAACAGAGGTCACAAATAGAGATTACACAAATCTCTAAGTAGAACACTAACAATCTAATTTTTTAATGGGCTAAAGGAAAAAATACAGTTTAACAGGAAAGGAAATTAAAATGGTTCTTTAAAATTAAGATGGTCAGTCTCATTCATGAAATGAGAAATGAAAACGAAAATTCAAATAGCAAATATAAAACTTTAGTAAAACACTGCAGAAAACAAACCTTCATATGTTTTGTGAGTGTAAATTGACTCAAACTTTATGGAGTATAATTTGCCAACATGTAACAAAATTATAAAAGCACAAAGCTTTTGACAGAAATTTTATTCTAGAAATATTATTCTACAGAGATATGCACATATGAAATGATTGTTTTAAAAAATATTCATGGAGCATTTGCGATCTTGCTCTCTGGCATATGTCTTCAGTTTGACTCAAATAAACTCATAAAAATTCAAATAAATAAATAAATAAATAAATACATAGCTATTCACTGCAGCATCACTTATAATTTATAGCTTAAATGTCCATCAACAGGGCTGGTTAAATCAATCATGGCACAATCATGCAATGGAATAGTATACAGCTATAAAAAAGAGCATGGGGGCTTTTAATATAAGAAATCTTACAGAATAGTCTGTATTCTATACAGTGTCATTTGAAAGAAAGGAAAAACTGAGGAGAAAAACTAGATTGATGAGGCAGAGGTGGGAACAAGACTTCTCTACATACATCCTTCTGTACTTTTTGAATTCTGTATTATCAATTCAAAAGGATTTAAACATGAATGACACCACCATTTAACGTGGTACCTCAGCACTGACACAGTACCAGGCACAGCAGCAGCATGGAAGGTATAACATTCACCATGTTCCCCAGCATAACAGTTAGACCTGCATCACTACTCTGCACTGACCATCACTACTCAGCACTGGCTCAACAGTGATATTCACGCTGGTTCTAGCATCTAGCTGCTATTCTGGATAGCATGTTTCTTGCAAAAAACATCTACATCATGCAGGTGGCGCCTACTTTGGGAATATTCCTCTCCCATGGGAGGGGGGTGGTCTTCATCCCAGTCCACAGAATCCTCATCTGTCAGCACAACGATGTGGCACTCTCGCTCCCCTTTCTTGGCACAGCCCACCATGATGGGCAGGATCAGTTCTTCGAGGTAGTGATCAAACTGCTTGTGAGCACCGTCATTAGATAGTTCATGCAATAAAGCACCTAGGGAGAGAAACGGCAGGTGAGCATCCTCTCTGCCAGTGCATACCAGTATGTTACTGGAGTGAGAAAGATTACGGGGTAATAGCTGCTATCATTGATAGGGTCCAGAGAAGTGACCCATTTTAAGGCAGAGACTGCTTCCTGCTTCAAGATGGTAATTAAGCTGATTTTATTAGATGTATTTCACATTCTACCATGCTTCCCTTTATAATGCTTAATAATCCCTGAGCATTCTGATCAATGAAGGTATTGTTGAACATCAGTGTCATATCATAAAAATTATTTCTACAAGAGATAGAACCATGAATTGGGATGACTCTCTGTAGGACTGCTTCTGACGATCCTCTAGATCCCAATTTCATGGAGTTAAGAGTGCACAGAAGAAGAATCTGAAGCTGGGAGACACCAAGGGACTTGCTCTAAGTAAATACTAGACCCAGCAGAGAATCCACAAGTCCAGAGAACTTCATGGAGTCTGCAGGGAAAAGTATCATGAACTTCATAGAATAATTTAAAAACAATTTCAGGGAGCCTAGTAGGTAATGATAAGAGCATGGAGTTGGTAGTTAATCAGTTCTAATTTCAGCTTTTAATGCTTAGAGCTTTGAACAAGCTAACTTCTCAGTCTCTTTTGTTAAATGGGGTTATCACCCATTTTTTAGGATTATAGGATTTATACCAAGTTCACATCTCTAAAGCACTTAACAAACACTAAGTTAATCATAATGATAAATATAATTGCTAAGAATCCAGCCAATTTATGCTGTTTAACTTTCCTAGTGAGACTTCCCACAGATGTGAGAATCAGTACCCTTATTTGTTAAAAAGATTGAGACACCAAGGTCTTAAGAGGGGAAGGAATTAGCTTGGTGACTCCTGGGCCAAGCTAGGTTTAGAGCCCACCTCACATTCTCTTGTTTACTGCACGTCCTCAAAGTGTTCTGAAGCGTGAGGGACAGCACCTCTCTGCCCCAGCAGATGACTCTGCACTCGTACCTGAGAATCTCTGGTTAGCAGTAAAAAAAGCAAATCAATTCCAGGCCAACTAAGTTCAGCTGCTCCTGTACTCACTCAGATCCTGACACCGGATAGTGTTGAAGTCAAAGTTAATGCAGAGATAATCACACGTATCTCTAAGGTCTGGGATAGAGATGCCATCAGGACAATTGATGATACCAGTTTTGTAATAATCCTGTAAATAGATCAGGAGGAAGAAATTAGGTAAAGAATAAGATGAAAAATTACCTCTTCAACACCTACTCATTGCTGGCTCTGTTAAAGTGATGGGTTACTAGCACTGTTACCAAGTTGGTTGATTCACTAATGGCAAAGTGGCTCCTGGGTGTCCTGACATGGTAAATCACAACTTGATACCTGATTGAGCTCACACAGCAAGAATACTTAAGTTACAGAAATAAAAAGTAAAGCGGGAAAGCCAGTCACTGGAAACTAGAGACCGTAAAGTCAGTACCAGTCTGGACTCTCAGGGCTTCTGACCATGGGGCCCAGGGAAGGGCCCAGGGAAAAGGGTGTAACAAAGAGGTTCTGCGCACCAGCACCGTTCGAAAGACAGTTGCGCTGATTCCTTCTGCAATCTCATACTCCCCCTTCTCGTTGGGCCGTGTGAAGTTGTACTCTCTTCCGGGTCCAAACATCCTGAAAGACACCAGGCAACAGCGTGACCTCCTCCAGCAAGATTCCCCCTCTCCCAGCGTCAGTTAACAGCACCGGGACGCAGCCCCCAGGACGTACTCAGGTCTCAGGAAACGCCCTTCAGACTGGAAAAGAAGGCAGCGTTGCTTTCAGCGGGGGCATGACGCAGCCCTGGGCAAGTGTCTGCAGCCTGTGAGGCTGCCCCTCCTGCGCTCCCACCGCCGGGAACCTGCCTGTGTGTGCCCGCAGCTCAGAGACACAGGGCCTCACGCTCCTGCCTTTCCGATTCCCTTCCCTCTATCAGGATTTACCAATTCTCAATATTCCTGAGCTCTGCTTTTCAACCTCTAATGTGACAGATGAATCTGTGTTAATAGGTACAGATGTGTTAATGCTTCCCCTTTCCTGGTACGTTTCAACGGCGGAGCTCTGGGGACGATGCCCTTCTCCGAGCCAAGGAGTAACGCTGACCAGGGGAACTTCAGGTCCAGTGGACAAGGAGGGGAGGCGCTAGGCTCAGCAGTTTGACCTGGACATGAGCTCAGAGGTCATGAGGGTCTGAGGAGGAGACTGCTTTCCTCATTCCCCTTCCCCCATTCTTCCTCCTCCTCTTAGACACCCAGGAAAACTGGCCCCAGGACTCTGGCTCCTGCTGCACCTGGGTGGGAAGGGAACACAGGGCGGGCAGAGTGCCACTGCAGCAGCCGGACTTGAGTGCTCAGTGGGGACGCACTGCTGTTTCCTTCCTTAACCTGCTGGTAAGCTCTGCTGCTCAACTGCTCAAAACCGTTCGCCTCCCTCTGAATTGGCTACTTTTAAAGGCCTGAAAAAGACTCCATTCCACATGCTTTCCAAATCACTAGACCAGTGACCGGCAAACTCATTAGTCAACAGCCAAATATCAGCAGTACAACAATCGAAATTTCTTTTGAGAGCAGAAAACCGACTTCTGCGCATGGGCCACGAAGTGTCAATCACACTGTACGTGTGTGCCCGCATGTGGTTTTTGTTGAAGAGCCACACTCAAGGGGCCAAAGAGCTGCATGTGGCTCGCGAGCCGCAGTTTGCCAACCACTACACTAGACCATACATAAGAAATCCATCCTGGTAAAAACTGTCTTCAAAGAATGCTAACATTTCTCTGGACCATTCTGGCTAAAGTCTAGCTGAGTCAGCTATGAATCAAAATAGTAAACAAATGCAGTATGAACCCCTTCCATCCGCAGGACTTAGTTCTCCAATAGTGGCATGGATCTGCATTAGTCCATCCTTGATCTCTCAACTTGTATCCTCTGTGGCTAGTGAGTGGTCACACATCTGTAAGCACAATGGCTGGGCTTACTAATACTGCTATGTAGCCACAGGACAACAAACCTAAGTAACTCTCAGAATTCATGACCTTGGCACTCAAATGATGAACCACTTAGATAAAGAAATCCGACTCTCTTCTTGGGACAACCCATTCCTAGAACCAAAGAACCACTGCTGGCCAAGAATCTATTACCCAGATAATGCTGGCCGCCTTCTCCTCTTTATCACCACTTTCAGAGGAAGCCTACCTCAGCCAGCCTGCCCCAGGGAATTACACAGGAACACTGCCCCCTCCCCCCGGAGCGGGAGGAGAGACATTAATGGTGGTGATACCAAGACTGAGCACAGGAAGTTAAGTCTGATAAAATACAGGGCCAATTTAGAAAATGATTTAATGTTCTCATTTAATCTTAATTCAGATGTTTGAGAAACATATAGGTTTGGTTTTGGTTAAAAATGGCTCATCATAAATTTGTATGTATATGTTCAAGTAAACACATATTTGAATAGCTGGATCCCATTTGGCCTAAGATTCAGGAAAATTAGTGTAGTCACTCTGATTTCTAATTCAGTTCAAATTAGTTCAATATCCTGAGTGAAATTAAATCTTAAAATAACATCTACTTCTAAGTAGATAAAAATCCTTAAGAGTCAAATGTGTGTGTACACACACACACACACACACAATCATTTTACTCTTATCCCATGTGCTCCTCCTCACGTTAAGGTCTATGACCGCCAGAAAGAGGGTCTCCTACTTCCAGCCCAGGCTCCAAGAGCTTGTGGACAGTGCTCCTGTGGGCAGGCTCTTTCCATTCCCGAGATTCTAACCCTGAAAAGCTGGGCAGTGAGAAGAGGATAGGACTTTAGTCTGAATGTAACATGAAGAATAAAGAAACAACAGAAAAACCAGATAAAAGATTCAGTTTCAGAAAACAAGTAGTGATGAAGGCATCAGAAAATGACAGTAAAACATCTATTTCCAATATAACTAGCAATAGAAGGCAGGCAAAATACTGCTTTTCAGTGAAATGGCTTTGTTATGTCCTGTGAAACCTTTGTCTAATTCTATTTTTTTATTAAAAGGCAAAAGACGAAAGAAAGATGAACTCGATTTACAGCTCTCACTTTATCCCAGGATCTTTGACTCAGAGAACTCAGAAAACATTGCTTTTAGGAGGTTATACAAATTGTGAATAAGATAAATTAAGTATTGACTTCCGTTTTAGAGTGAGTTTATAGAGGAACAGGGAGTGAGATTTAACAGATTACTTCTCACAGTTCTGGCTGCACTCCCTTCTTTTGTTCACTATACCGGCTTTATAAATAAGATACCCAGCCCCCTACATTACCAACATATGTACGTTTTGTAGCAGCTTGCCCTCCTCTCACCAAAGGAGGAAGGCAAGAAATCAGCAAACCTTTTCATTTTCACATCTAAAGCAAGATAAACAGCAGGCATTCCAGTCACAGAGAACAGAGTGCATTTTGAAGGGAAGTATCGTCAGTTACCTTCCCAACATGGTATCCGGGTGAGCAGTGAAAATTTGCGGATTCACCACAAAACGTGTGCCGTCTACAAGAAGTGTCACTTTCTCTGGCGCCTGGGCGTGAAAGTTACCGCCAAAGCCGGTAGTGCTGTTTCCAAATCGTTCTGGAGCGATGAAAGGTTCATAGCTCCGTCTGTTCCCGCTTGGGAAGCAGGAGCCTTTGCTGTCTTCAGGATGTGGCATCATGTGAGGGAACTGGAGACTTGCTGGCTGAGGGGCATAGTCCAGTGAAAGGTCTAAAAGATACAAACCAACCAAAATAACTCAATCGTAAAAGCCTTGGGGGAAAATAAACCATTTTCTTTAAAAAACAATAAGAGATTAAACAAAACCCCCATATGTGTTTAGGGGGCAAACACGCAAAAACTCTTGCCTAGAGCAAATAAAGAAAAAATATACAAGAGGCTTATATTGGATCCCCCTGAGCTTTTTTCCACTCATGCCAAGTGTGTGTGTGTGTGTGTGTGTAGAAGGGGGGATAACGGTAGTAATGTCCACATTTCAAAATAAAATGAGTAAAAAATTTAAAAGTAAACTTCAATATGGTTTTAAAAAATTAAAACACTAGAGACAACTTTCTGTGGAAAACCAGCAATCCCCTGCACACCCCATGGCCGCCCCAGTATTGACAGTATTGTTACTTCTGTTTTCACTTCTCTAAATATCGTATTTTTCGGACCATAAGACGCTCCGGACCATAAGACGCACCAGTTTTTAGAGAAGGGAAATGAAGAAAAAAAGATTCTGAAACAAATAGTATCCTAAAATATTTTATGTGCATTAAAACCCAACATCACAGTCATAAACACATGTAATCAACCCTGTAAAGTAAACAGCAGCATTTAGAACCATTTTAGAGCCGGGCAAGCACACAGAGACCACACAGAGCCGGGCAAGTAAAAAAACTTTTTTTTAAAAAGTATATGTGTAGGCTATATTTGGACCATAAGATGCAGGGACTTTTCCCCCCCACTTCTGGGGGGAAAAAAGTGCGTCTTATGGTCCGAAAAATACGGTAATACTTACGTTTCCTGTGCTGTATTTGTGCTACCTATGGTGTGCCAAAACCATTTACTTTCTACATTTAAAAAAAAATGTTTCCAAATTTTATTTTCCAGAAAGACAATGATAGTCTATTGTCAATGCCTCACTTGTCCTAGAAGCCACAGAGAAATGCATGTTCACTGTGCAAAGGAGCATCCTAACGTCACCAACACCACTCTGAACAGGCAGGTCTTGCAATCAGCTGCAAAATCCCCATGCAAATGGCCTTGGATTAGCATTCATGCTCAGTTATTGTATCACCAAAAAGCTATTTTCTTTAAGTAATTTATTTTTCTAAACCTGTTTCATCATCTCTAGAATAGTTCATTCCAACTACCTCAAAGGATTGACTAGCAACTGAAAGAATGTGAGAGCACTTAAAAACAAACAATACCACATCATGCAAGAGACTTAATATGGAATAAATGAACTCTGGTGTACACAGGAGATTGAGAATGAGACGTAACATATTATTTATCATAATTCTGGCTGCAAGGAGCCAGTGTTTACAAAAGGATTCCCAGAGGATGCTCTTATTTTTTATTTATTTTCATTTTTTGTTAATCTTCACGAGGATATTTTCTCCCCATTGCTTTTCAGACAGAGTGGAAGGGAAGGGGAGAGAGTGAATGAGAGGAGGGGAGGGGAAGACACACTGACTGGTAGACTCCTGCATGCAGCCCAACTGGGATGGGAAGCAAACCTGCAACCCAGGTACATGCCCTTGACCAGGAATCGAATCCTCAACCCTTCATTTTCCATGTCAGTACTCTACCCATTAAACAACACCGGCCAGGGCTCAGAGGATGCTTTAATAGGTAGTTTTCCTAATATATTTTATTTTAATATAAAAAATATTTTTTAATAAAAAATTTCAAATATACCAAAGCATAGAGTTAATACCACACGTATATGCCATTACTTCGATTTGGCAAGCTCAGTTAACATTTCTCCTTTCTTCAAACCTTTTTTGGAAAGATATAAAATATTATAGATACAATTGAATTTCTCATTCCCACCCTTCCTATATTTTAAATTTGCATACAATATTTCATGAACGTGATTACTGCCCGTGACTTCTGGGGAATTAGTCTGATTAACACCCCCCTCTCCCCCTCCCACTTGTTTCTGGAGAAAAGGAACCCAAAATCTCCCGAAAACCAATTTAGGGTTTATATCCTACAGCTTCTGCAGGACCTAAATTTTCAATGTGGCCCTGATTTTGCTACCAAAGTCCTCACACAATCCACAGGCAGGCTTGTGTCAAGAAACACCTTAGTCACCAGACAGGCTTTCACACTGGCAGTGCTGTTCTTAGAAATGAAAGCAGGTATCTAAATCACTAATTCAGTTCTCTAGAAATCTTGATTTGCCCCCAGCAATGAAGCAATTAAATTAGGTCGATTCCTGAAGGATGCCTCAGGTTCTATCCTTAAACAGGTGAACAGGAAAAGAAACTCACTGCACAACCTCTCTCTAATGGTGCACTCTAGGGGGCAGTGACTTCGCTTGTCTATCAGCTGATATATATACACACAATCAGGCATGCTCTTGTATGTATATATCACTGATAGACAGCTGATAGACACAGGCTCAACTCTCAGTCCCCCACATCCTAGCAGTGCGAATCCCAGCAAGTTACCCACATTTTGTCATTTTTTTATTTTTTAAATATTTTATTGATTTTTTACAGAGAGGAAGGGAGAGAGATAGAGAGCTAGAAATGTCAATGAGAAACATCGACCAGCTGCCTCTTGCACACCCCCTACCGGGGATGTGCCCGCAACCAACGTACATGCCCCTGGGACCTTTTAGTCCGCAGACCAACGCTCTACCACTGAGCCAAACCGGATTCGGCACATTTCGTCATTTTTAAAAGGAGAACTACTCTAAGCAGGGGTCGGCAAACTTTCTGTCAAGACCCAAAAAGTAAATATTTTAGGCTTAATGGGTCAGTCTCTGCCATTGTAGCAAGAAAGCGGCCACAGACAGAATGTAAACGGGCATGACGGCTGTATTTCAAAATTTTATCGAAAAAAGTAGGCAGCAGTCCAGATTCGACCACAGTCTGCCACTCTTGGATGTATGTACAATTCCTAGCACAGTGAGCGCTCAATAAGTGGTGACTGCTATTATTGTCGCTGTTTTTATTTAAAAGTTAAAAAGAGCACGGTCAGTATGGGCCAATGGTTGACCCGTGGACCAGGAGTTCCCCAGTTCCACTCCCAATGGAGCACAAGCCCAGGTTGCAGGCTCCGTCCCCAGTGGGGGACGTGCGGAAGGCAGCCAATCAGTTTCTCTCTCATCAATGTCTCTGTCTCTCTACCCTTCCCTCCCTCCCTCCCTCTCTCTAAGTTTACAAGACCCTTCGCATGCATTAACTCTTAATATTCTAGCCTTATGAAGTCAGAAGAATATTATATCCTTGTTTTCTAGATTAAGAAAGCAGGGCTCAGAAAGATTAGCATCTTTCCTATGGTTACAGCTGATAGGTAGCAGAGGTAGAATTTGAACCGGTCTTTTGCTTGCAAACCCATGACTGTTTTTCTCCCACCATTATGACTAGATTAGATGTTCTAGATTGACTGAATAAGTGGAGATTTTCTGTGACGGTTAGCTTTATGTAATTGTGAAAGGTAAGCTAAGCCAATTAACTGGATATGTTATTTATAAAGATTAAGGATATTTATGTCTTCTGGGCAGAGTGGATGCTCAGGTGTCAGAAAGCCCTTTACGTTAAGCCAGTATCTAGTCTCCGTACCATCACTCCTGGGAGTTAGCGGATAAGCAAGACTTTGAAGACCAGAAGTCAGGCTATTAGTTTCCTTTTCTTGGGCTGCAGCTGAGGTTTCATCCATCAGGCAGCTCGCCTCCTGCAGCAATAACCTGTCACTCTCACTGCCACGATGAACATTCATCCTTGGGCTCTATGCTGATCTGTCCGCCTGATCAGAAAAAAAACCTGCAAGACAGGAATATGCATAATTTAGAACTCTCTCAAAACAGGTTTCCAAGGACTTCCATGGCATGAAAGCCAAACTAGAGAACTAACAGGCAGCTCTCATTCTTGTTCTGAGAAGAAATGACATCATAAACATCTCTGTGATTTATATTGAGAGGAACTGGTCTCTTGAGAAACCTGTTATTAGAGAACTAGAGGCCCGGTGCACGAAAATTTGTGCACTGGGGGGGGGGGGGCTTTCTACCTGCCAGCTTAGGTCCCCTCCCTAGGGGATCGGGCCTGAGTTGGTTGTCAGACATCTCTCTGGCAGCCTGGGAGCCCTCGGGGATTGTCTGACTGATAGCATAGGCCTGCTCCCCACTGACATCTTTAGCACTGCCGCAGTGCTGGGAGGGGCTCCCGCCACCGCCTCTGCCCTCTTAGCCATCAGCCTAGCTTGTGGCTGAGCAGAGCTCCCCCTGTGGGAGTGCACTGACCACCAGGGGGCAGCTGATGCATTGAGCATCTGCCCCCTGGTGGTCAGTGCACATCATAGCAAAAGGTTGTTCCACCATTAGGGTCAATTTTCATATTACCCTTTTATTATATAGGACACATGTGTCAAACACAAGGTCCGCGGGCCAAATCCGTCCCGCCAGGCCTTGCAATGTGGCCCGCACCACGCTGTCATCACTGCACTCCGCTGCGTTTCCATCACAATGACAGTTTATGACTGTTCAGTAAACCATTTGGCCCGCGATTTAGGCTGGATTTTAGATTTTGGCCCCTTCTCTGATTGAGTTCGACACCCCTAATATAGGATAATGTTAAGCTTTATCTACAGACACTGAATGCACTCACTGACTTTGCCCACATTCATGAACAATTCTACATGTTAAATGGTGGTATTTATACTACAGAGACACAGGAGGAGAAGAGTGCAATTGATCACTTAAAGAAAACCTGCCATATATATATTTTCTAAAATAAGTCTTTATTGTTCAGATTACAAATGTTCCTCTTTTTTCCCTCCCTCCATTGCTCCCCTCCACTAGGTCCCCACCCCACCCTCTGCCCTTTCCCCACCCCCCATTGTCCTCATCCATAGGTGCACAGTTTGTGTTCAGTCTCTTCCCACCCCCCCCACTCCCCTTTTCCCTGAGAATCGTCAGTTCGCTCCCCTTCCATACCTCTGATTCTATTATATTCAACAGTTACTATTGTTCATCAGATTTTTTTTTAATTCCCTTGGTTTTTAGATTCACTTGTTGATAGTTACGTATTTGTTCATAACTTTTCTCTTTATTTTCTTTCTCTTATGAAAGAACCCCCTTCAGTAATTCATATAATTCTGGTTTGGCGGTGATGAACTCATTTAGCTTTTTTTTATTAGTGAAGCTCTTTATCTGGCCTTTGATTCTGAGTGATAGTTTTGCTGGGTAGAGTATTTTTGGCTGTAGGTTCTTACTATTCATCACCTTGAATATTTCTTACCATTCCCATCTGGCCTGCATGGTTTCTGTTGAGAAATCAGCTGACAATCGTATGGGTGCTCCTTTATAGGTAACTACCTGCTTTTCTCTTGCTGCTTTTAATATTCTCTCTTTGTCCTTTGCTCTTGGAATTTTAATTATGATGTGTCTTGGTGTGGTCCTCTTTGGATTCCTTTTATTTGGAGTTCTGTGCGCTTCCTGGACTTGTAAGTCTAATTCTTTCACCAGGTGGGGGCAGTTTTCGTCACTATTTCTTTCAGTATGTTTTTGCTATCTTGCTCTCTCTCATCTTCTGGGACCTCCATAATTCTGATGTTGGTTCGCTTGAAGTTGTCCCAGAGATTTCTTACATTATCTTCAACTTTCTGGATTCTCTTGTCTTCTTGCTTCTGCAGAGGAGTGTCTTCTGTCTCTTTATGTTCCAAATCTTTGACTTGATTCTTGTGATCTTCCATTCTGTTTTTAGGACTCTGTATAATATTTTGTATTTCAGACAATGTATTCTTTATTTCTTGTTGATCCCTTATTGCCATATATTTTTTAAAATTGAGACACACCTACTCCTGCAACAGTGAAGCAAAAAGAAATGCAAAGCAATCACAACGATAATGCCAGCATGAGAGCCGAAACCAGAAGTCACCTGCACTTAAAAAAGTTCTCGCACTTTGTTAATTATGCTCAATCCCCAAGACCTACCTCAAAATTATACCACGATGTCACTGGACACAGGCTAACTCCTCCTCAGCAGTGCACTATCATCATGAATAACACCTACTGGCAAATGCCATGTGCAAGGTATTCGCCAATGAGGCAGGACAGAGACAGGAGGCGATATACCTTCCCTCCAGGGCGTCATGCTGGCAGCCCTTCACCTTGGGGGCTATCCAACTACTGAAAACATTCCTGAAGTCCACCCTCCCCAGGACTTCCACCGTTTATACTCTACTATTTTCTACTTGTTTTGGTGGAAGAATCATCTTCATCACCAGCAATTTTTATGCATATGGATTGCAGGCTAACAACAATTTAGAAAGAAGTTTGGTCATGAAGGGCAGTAACATGTTTTAATACTTTTAATTTCCCTGACATGCAAGTATGTACATGTGCTAATAAATATTTGTATTGTGAATTGAATTCTTCCTTTCATAGCTTGTATTGATACATTTTTTAGCATAACATTGATTGATCAGTTAATCCTTGTTTTAACTTGGATAAAATATAAAAATGAACATGTTGGAAAGATGAATCAATACATGTGCCTGAAAACACACTTTTTTAAAGAAGAGATACTTTCAGTTGATGAAATCTTTTCAGACCATGGTTCTTATAAACATTAGGCAAATTGAGCCAATAGATGAATGTTCTGACAGAAAACCTGGTATGTGGGTACAGCTTTTTTTAGGATTAACCTTTCTTAAAGAAAAAGCATATTTTAGTACACACAAAAAATGCAGCCACTTAAAATTTATCCTGGAGATTGGTAAAGTCAAACAGAACCACTACTGCTCTCAAGTTCACTTCAGAAGATGCCAAAATCAGGTCTACAGAACAGGATAAAGAATAGTCATGAAACTGGAAAGCACATTTCCTACCAATACTGAAAGATCAAAAAAGGATTTGCTTCTTAAGCTTAACTGGTTTGAACTATAACGTTTCACTCAACCTATAGCTGCTGCTTCTCAACAAACAGCTCAAGAACCAAGTTCAAACTTCTCTTTGTTGCTCTCAAAAGATCTCTTGGACCAAAATATAAGCTTAAATAAGCCTATCTCTTGAAAATTTGCAGTGTAGACTGCTTGTATATGTTACTTCATTTATTCCTTATAATATGTGGAAAATAATTTCATTGTAATGGACTAGAATAAAAATACTTTCTTCCTATTTTATAGTACTGAAGCTCAAAACTCAGTCTAACTTGTATACAGTCAATTAATAAATATAAAAGATACTCGAGGCCTGATGCACAAAATTCGTGCAAGAGTAGGCCTTTGCAGCCCCAGCTGCCTCGGCCCTCGCAGCCAGGCTGCTGCCCCAGTTTTGTCCGGAAGGGAAAAAAATAAAAGAACTGAGCAAAGTACTTGAACAATATAGTTCTCTATTGCTACAACACTATTTCTGGCCAACAGTCCTAAAGGTCAAATACAAGAAGCAAAGGATCATGACATCCTTGGCACACCTAACAGTCATTGGAGAGGCTGCTTCAGAACACAACTGGGAGTTAGAAATGTATTAATGAAACTGTTCAGCTAAGAAGCAAACCAGCTCAAGATTCACCTCCACATCTCACATAAAAGAATTTATACACTCCGAAGAGCTACACAAATATATTTATTATTTATTTCACAGGCCTCCTATGAAGGCCCACATTTTAAGTCTTGGTTTTGCTGATCTGAAACAGCAAGACATTTAGAATCATCATCTCCCCATCTTGGAAAATTTACATAAAATTTTTGCTAGTGGAATTATCTCCACATATTCCTTGCACTTAGGACACACTGGTTTTTCTCTAGAACATTGTCATCTTGAGTATTAGTTCAAAATAATCTCTAGATAACAAATTATTTTCTTTCTATTTGCAATTTCCTCTGATTATTTCTGAAGAAGAGAAGATAATTAGATCACTGTTCCATTAAGTTCAATACTTGCCATTGAACTATTCAGATTTTAAAAATCCAGGTGGAATAGGGTTGGGGACAATTAAACTTAACATGGATGCATTTCAAAAGCATTATGCTTTCAGACTGTTAATGGTACAGCATCTGATCTTTTATTTCAGGGCCAAGTCCCCTCTTTGTCAGAGCTCGGTGGTGAAGATGTGGTAGAATGCCATAGAAATTGGTACATAAACAACTCCATCTATAATTCATAATTCAGAAAGTAATTATATCTTTGCCAGATCTTCATTTCAGATACAAATCCTAGTCCTTTTCCAGTCTGCTCTTATGTGAGAACACCTACATTTCTTTACTGCTCCAGGGGCCTATTGACTTTGGTCTAGTTCCATTATCAGAGCAATGAGAGCCCTGCTAATGCTTTCTATCAGAGGTGAACAGATTCCATTTGCTTCTCATGTGCTCTCTGGTCATACCCAGGATTTCTGGTTAAAAGGGTTTGTTAAAATAGAGGGAGAGACAACAGAGGTGATAGAATACAATCTAAAATGTCTACATGATCACCTTCTAGGATATTACTGACTGATAGCTAAGAGGCTACCATCTTCAAAATGTACTCTGGGTGTGTGTGTTTAAATATTTATATCTACATAACTATATCTATCTCGCTATATGTAATTCATGTATTATTGTTATTTTTGTTAATCCTCACCAGAGGATATTTTCCCATTGATTTTTAGAGAGAGTGGAAAGCAGGAGGAGAGGCAAAGAGAAACATCAATGTGAAATGTTTTTAAACCAACTCTGCTGAAGCTTTTCTGACACGTTTCTATTTTCTCCCTTTGCCTGTACAGCCCTAATGTTCCAGTCTCAGAAGAAATTGTCTTCTGACTATTTAAGGTCTTCTGATTTTCCT